TGCATACATATGCATCCATATGCATACATATGCATACATGCATCCATATGCATACATATGCATCCATATGCATACATATGCATACATATGCATCCATATGCATACATATGCATCCATATGCATACATATGCATACATGCATCCATATGCATACATATGCATACATGCATCCATATGCATACATATGCATCCATATGCATACATATGCATACATGCATCCATATGCATACATATGCATCCATATGCATACATATGCATACATGCATCCATATGCATACATATGCATCCATATTCATACATATGCATACATGCATCCATATGCATACATATGCATCCATATGCATACATATGCATACATGCATCCATATGCATACATATGCATCCATATGCATACATGCATCCATATGCATACATATGCATCCATATGCATACATATGCATACATGCATCCATATGCATACATATGCATCCATATGCATACATATGCATACATGCATCCATATGCATACATATGCATCCATATGCATACATATGCATCCATATGCATACATATGCATACATGCATCCATATGCATACATATGCATCCATATGCATACATATGCATATATGCATCCATATGCATACATATGCATCCATATGCATACATATGCATACATGCATCCATATGCATACATATGCATCCATATGCATACATATGCATACATGCATCCATATGCATACATATGCATCCATATGCATACATATGCATACATATGCATCCATATGCATACATATGCATCCATATGCATACATATGCATACATGCATCCATATGCATACATATGCATACATGCATCCATATGCATACATATGCATCCATATGCATACATATGCATACATGCATCCATATGCATACATATGCATCCATATGCATACATATGCATACATACATACACAGATACAGATACATACATATGCATACATATGCATACATGCATCCATATGCATACATATGCATCCATATGCATACATATGCATACATATGCATACATACATACACAGATACAGATACATACATATGCATACATATGCATACATGTATCCATATGCATACATATGCATCCATATGCATACATATGCATACATACATACACAGATACAGATACATACATATGCATACATATGCATACATGCATCCATATGCATACATATGCATACATACATACATACACAGATACAGATACATACATATGCATACATATGCATACATGCATCCATATGCATACATATGCATCCATATGCATACATATGCATACATACATACACAGATACAGATACATACATATGCATACATATGCATACATGCATCCATATGCATCCATATGCATCCATATGCATACATATGCATCCATATGCATACATATGCATACATATGCATCCCTATGCATACATATCATCCTGCATCGCATATGCAAACATATGCACCCTATTGCATACATATGCATCATTCATCCATAAATGCATACATTAGCCATCCATATGCATACATATGCAACATGCAGCCTATGCATACATATGCAATCCAATGCATACCTATGCATACAATGCATCCCATATGCATCCATACATCCATATTCATACATATGCAATACTGCATCCATATGCTACATATGCATCCATATGCATACATATGCATACATGCATCCATATGCATACATATGCATCCATATGCATACATATGCATACATGCATCCATATGCATACATATGCATCCATATGCATACATATGCATACATGCGTCCATATGCATACATATGCATCCATATGCATACATATGCATACATGCATCCATATGCATACATATGCATCCATATGCATCCATATGCATACATGCATCCATATGCATACATATGCATCCATATGCATACATATGCATACATGCATCCATATGCATACATATGCATCCATATGCATACATATGCATACATGCATCCATATGCATACATATGCATCCATATGCATACATATGCATACATGCATCCATACATACATGCATGCATACATGCATACATACATACATGCATACATGCATAACTGGGTGAACTTTTATGGCTTATGAACCACTGATCCAACCTGGGATGCACGTTTCAAACGAGTTTTCAATCGGCAACTCAGATTTTTTTCTGGAGTGCATTGTGATGTTTTCAGGATTGTACATCACGAAGATGATGATTAAGACATGCAACGTCACGGCTTTTCTCCTGTTCAATAAGCTAAATCATCTTCCAAGACCATATTTTTCGGGATTCTGTAGCAGTTTTCTGTGGTGTAAATGTGTACTGATGGAGTGGGGGACGGACTCAAAGTTTTGGTCCTTCTATGAATGAATCTGGTCGGCACTTGGGGAATTGAATTTCTGGGAAGTACAGTCCATGTTTTTGTTCTACTTGGAACATGAGTATGAGACATGTTTGCATGGCTCTTGGGATCGGATAGAGCAAATGAGCAACGGGGTTGCGATAGAGCATTTAAAGGCAGAATAAAACATGTTTTCTAACAGTTCCAACAGTGACATACATTGTGATATCCCCCGGCATTTACCGCAGATCCTTCTGGGGAATTGGCGTTGGCCGTGGCTTTTTTCTGTCTGGTTCGTGTTTCTGCCGAGACAACCACCATCAACGGATTACCAGCAACGTTGTCATCAAACATGGCTGGCAATGTGGAATCCCCGAACTATGTCCGGGAAATATACCCTCTGGTAAACTGTCCCAAAAAACTATGGAAAATCACCATTGTTCATGGAAAAATCCACTATAAATGGTGATTTTCCATAGCTATGTTAGTTTACCAGAGGGTAATGGTCTAGTTCTGGGATCTATGATGGTTTGTTAGAGGTCTATAATGGTCTATATCTGGGAAATCTATCGAACTATAGCTGGAATTTTGCAGCCATGTTTGATGAAGCCAGAGGTACTTGACGTTGGTTTCATAAGCTCCGTTTCCTTTAGATATCTCTATTATCTCCCAGGAAATATTCCAATCATTCTCATTATTCATATGAGTTTTATTATTCCATCATTATTCTCATTATTCATATGAGTTCTATTATTTTTCCATCATTATTCTCATTATTCATATGAGTTCTATTATTTTTCCATCATTATTCTCATTATTCATATGAGTTCTATTATTTTTCCATCATTATTCTCATTATTCATATGAGTTCTATTATTTTTCCATCATTATTCTCATTATTCATATGAGTTCTATTATTTTTCCATCATTATTCTCATTATTCATATGAGTTCTATTATTTTTCCATCATTATTCTCATTATTCATATGAGTTCTATTATTATCCCATCATTATTCTCATTATTCATATGAGTTCTATTATTATCCCATCATTATTCTCATTATTCATATGAGTTCTATTATTATCCCATCATTATTCTCATTATTCATATACCATGCAGGGGTTTCTATGAGTTCTTCCTAAGCTTGAGCCACTCCATCGATATGCCCCTGATAATTTCGCTGGGCCTCCCATCTTCCCATGGGAAGCCTCAGCCAGTCTAGGCACAAAAAGACTCGCCCGGTGCCGGGATCATCCCAGGAAGTAATAGATTACCATCTGACTAACAGTTTTCCATGGAAAATCACCATTTTTAATAGGTAAACCATCTATTTCTATGGGCCATGGCTTCCATGGCTATGTTAAATAACCAGAGGGTATTACTATAGTAATTACTTCTTGGTAAGTAAGCAAGTAAGCAAGCAAGTAAGTAAGCAAGTGAGTGAGTGAGTGAGTAATGGCAAGTCCCTTAGTAATGGCAAGCCCCTTAGTGAGTGAGTAATAAAGTTACTTATTAGTATATACTATTACTAACTATTACTATTACCATTACTATTACTATTACTTATTGGTATTACTTATTGGTAAATATACTATTACTATTACTATTACTTATTGGTATTACTATTGCTATTACTATTACTTATTGGTAAATAGTGAGTGAGTAATAAGCCTATAGTTGGCAAGTCCCGTCTCGGGTTGTCCAAGGGATTTTGATCCAAGGAGCCTCACCCCAGAAGATTTGGCGGAGCTGGATTCCGATTGGTGCGCCCCAGGGGGGTAACCTTGGAGTTGTGGCTTTGCTCAAAAAAGGGGGATTCACCAAAAAAACATGTGGCATTATTTGGATAAAATGGGGATATAACAATTTTTGGAGGTTTCAGTTTCGGCATCACCCCCAAATCATCCAGAATTCGAGCATTTTAGTATTGAAACAACCATGGTGACTTGGGGATCCCTGATAAAAGAACCCCGTTGCATGCCAGGCAATTTTTCAAAGTCCAGGTTTCTACGCGGGTGCCCCATGTTCAGACCAGCAATGAGGAAACATGTGGTTTCCATGGGTAGGGCTCAAAACTGAAGACGTTGGCCCATATCTTGATGGTTTATACCACCCTTATCTAATGGTGATTTTGGGGATGGTTTTTGCCTTTACCACATGAGTAAATCTATGTACCCTCTGGTGAACTAACATAGCAATGGAAAATCACCATGTTTGATGGGAAAATCCACTATAAATGGCCATTTTCAATAGCTATGTTAGTTCACCAGAGGGTAAATCTTGTTCATCAACGCCACCATGGGAATGACCAACCAACTGGGGAAATTCTACCCAAGACGTGGCCCGTGTCCATAGCCAGGGTAATATCGTCCATGTGAACTAACATTTGACCCGCACAAAGGTACCAAAGGAGCCAACCGTCAATATATGTATGTAAATATATACATAATATATATATATATATACACATAATATATATATATACATAATATATATATATATATATACATACATACATATAGATACACTTACACAGATACACACATACATGTATACATGTACAGTATGGGACAAAAACACACAGTACATGTCGGGACTGCCCGACATTCAATGTTTGAGGTGCGCATGGATGACCTCAAAATGGGGCGCCAAAGTTGTGGAGATTTTTACTGGTGGAAAGGATGATATTTATTGAGATTAATGACAGTTGCCATGATTGTATTGTGAAATATCTATTGATCAATATTTACCCTCTGGTAAACTAACATAACTATGGAAAATCACCATGTTTAATGGGAACATCCACTATAAATCACCATTTTCAATAGCTATGTTAAATTACCAGAGGGTATTGATTATTGATCATGTGAAAGGATGATATTTATTGATCAATATTTATTTAATATAAGCTAATCCATGGGACTTCCCTTGATCGATGGCTTATTTTCACACATGATTGTTCGTAATATCTTCAGTTTTGCTGCTCATTAGAGGGGTTGGTCCGCTCATACCTCTGGGCCCATTACCTGCTTTCAAAATAGGGTGAAACACAAGAAGGTTCCTTGTCTTCATTCCCTATGTATGTATATATAAACATCAAGAAGGGTTTCCCACTGAGTGTGTCATGACTATCTCGCAACCATGGCCTTTTCTTAGTGGTTTGGGGCGTTTTGAACAACCATACATCTTGATCGCCACTAATCAACATGGCGTGAGCATTTTTTAACCTGCAGTCGCTGGTCTTGGTTTCATCCCGCCCACCATAGTTTCTGGGTGGAGTTTAACATGAACGGAGGCAGGGATTACCCTCTGGTAAAATAACTTGTTGACCCTGAAAATAGCCTAGTTTTAATGGAAACTAATCTTCCAACCCCTATCTACCAGGGTCGAACTGTTAATTTACTGGAGGGTATGTGATTCAAAAACACAAGCTAGGTATTGGCGATCTCTGCATTCGCTTTGCTCATGCGTATAAAGCGTAGTCCTAACAGTGCCTGTTTTCGGCAACAAAAAAAGACCCAGATTGGTTCAACCAATAGTTTCCGAATATACAGGACCGGTTGAACACAGAATCCCAACCAAAGTCACTCCAGTTGGTGAAAAAACCAGTTACAGTAAACTTAGCAAATTCCATCACTGTCCATAAGTATTAGATTTTTATATCGCTTTATTACCCTCTGGTAAACTAACATAACTATGGAAAATCACCATTTTTCATGGGTAAATCCACTATAAATGGCAATTTTCAATAGCTATGTTAGTTTACCAGAGGGTAAGTTCCCCTTTTTTCGTCATGTAACTTCGTCCATCAACGAATCAACGACTGCCAGGAGTTCTTCCAGCGACCAATTCAAGCACGACAGCTTTGAATCAGCAGCGCGGTGGAGGTTTTATGAAAGTTTCAGACCACTCCTTCCGACCACCCACCCATGTATGTGTATATACAGATTTGACATATATATATATTATATGATTATATATATATATATCTATATTATACATGCATATATATATATATTTATATTATATACATGCATATGTATATATATATACACATGCATATTGGTTTGTAGTACGACTATAGTGACTGGAGATTGTTCTTGGTTCTACGCCGCAAATTGGGAATGGCATCCGCAAGTAGCCAGCAGGCTTGGGGATGCCATAGCGGTCATCAGCCCCCCTTGAAATGGTGCATCCAATGGCACTCGGTGCCTTCTTTGGAGAAACGGGCAAAAAATTCCAGAACGTACGCAGGTAACATCAAATCACTGGTTATATATATATATGGGATTTGAACCCTTAAACTGTATATACATACATACATACATGCATACATACATACATACATGCATGCATGCATGCATGCATGCATGCATGCATGCATACATGCATACATGCATACATGCATACATGCATGCCATACATGTATGTATGCATGCATACATGCATACATACATGTATTTATATACATACATATAGATACGTATACATACAATCATTGGGCATTGGAGTGAGACTCAGGTAGTCGACGCGCATGATTATACTTTCGTTGCTCGGCCTTTTACGATGCAAACATGGACAAACCTTGGATGAAATGCCGTGTTCACTGACGTTTGGACCTTGGATTCTACACATCTTATGCCTTTCCAATGTAGGCTTATGAAAAAGTGGCATCCCTCTTGGGGGCATGTGGCCAAAAAGTCACGAAAAATGCACTTTGGGCACTCCCAAAGTGCCATTTGGATTCTTGGTTGGCTTATTTTTCAAAGCCAGTTTTTTTTCGTTTGAGTGGTTTCTCTGAACATTTTAAACTGGTTTTCTTCGCATTTTCCCAGATTTTCCCAGAATTGCCATAGATACCCTCTGGTAATTTAACAGTTAGCTATTGAAAATGACCATTGAAATAGTGGATTTTCCCATTAAACATGGTGATTTTCCATAGCTACGTTAAATTACCAGAGGGTAGGGGTTTTTCATCCCCATTCTCAGACGCCCACAAATCAGTAAGTGACCCATTCGAAAGGATGACCTCCTGCGCAAGAAGTCACCCCGTCTTCCCGTCTTCGATGATTTACCCTCTGGTAAACATACAAAAAACTATGGAAAGATCCACCATTTTCAATGGGAAAATCCACTATTTCTATCACCATTTTCAATAGCAAACTGTTAAACATAACCAGAGGGTATCACAAAGGTCACAAAAGAATTGTAAGAACTGAAAATTTAGCATCTTGACGAAGCTAAAAAAATTGAGGATGCGAAAAAAAAAACAACAGATCGTGATAATTGTGCATTTAGTGATAAAATCTATGCCCTAAGTACTACTGGGTGTGTCTGTGGCCACGGGGATCGACCTAGAAAGATAGACATCAAATTTCATGGGGAAAATGATGATCCGATGATCCCCTATTTTTTTCAGACAAAGCCATATAGAATGAAGCACTTGTTGTGGGGACCGGAAGAAATTCCCCACACCATTCACTCAGGTCAATTTCTATGCGGATTGGTGTCCACATTGCAGGAACACCTGACCGAGTTGGAGGGTGGTCATGCTAGATCACACACTGTCTGGTCGAGCAAGTAAACTTTGGTTTTGAACATTGAACACATCGAACACCCAAAAAACATCCAGATATTCGAATCCCAATGTTACATTGACTATAACCAGTCTGGAAATATATAACACCAATGTTTGGTGTCGTCAATGTTAATGTTTTTCACTGTACCAATATATAACACCAATCATGACTGCTTTTATATCAATGTTTCTCCAGGGTCTCACCGTTCTTTCTTCTTTCCCCCTGATTTGTCACAACAGGACCATCCGTTTGGAAAAACAGGAAGTCATTGTATGACCCTCTGGTAAACTAACATAGCGAAGTGGAAAATCACAATTTTATATAGGTAAACCATGGTAAACCAACGAAGTAAATCACCAATTTTCCAGTTCGCTATGCTAGTTGACCAGAGGGCAACTCTGAATCCCAAACTCAGATCTTGATGCCCAAGTAAAACGAACAAAATTCACTTTGGGATTGATCCGAAAAAATGGGATTGATCCACACATGATGTGGTGATTTCACCCGTCTCGTTGGGATTTTTTGTCTTTTTGAATGTGGTGAAATCTAGGACCGATTTTAAAGCGGAACTGCACTCCCAAGTATATATATATAGATATATATATATATACATATAAGATATAAGATATAAGATATAAGATATAAGATAGATCATGTATATAGGTCCAATATAGGTTCTCTTTTCTTGTTGCAGGGTATCCAAGTTTAGCTTGCGCAACTTCTGAATGAATAGTCCCAGTTGGAAGGGTGACGTCGCCATCAACCAAAACCACCCAATTCCCCCGGTCAACTGTTTCTGTTGGCGAACCTACCATGTTAGTGGGTCAAAACAATATTTCAATTGTTGGCCTATTTTTAATGGCTTAGATAAATTGAATTGTTAGTGGGTTACATCGATAAATTTCTCAACAAAAATCCGTTTCTTCTCAGATTTCTGTCCAGATTTCTTACCTTGTGAAATCGGGAAATCCCAGTCTTTGAAGAGTGAAAAATCCACATCTTCGTAGCTGTTGTAGCTGAATTACATCCCTGGTTGGTGGTTTGGAACAATGATAGTGGTTTCCCAATATAGTGGTTTCCCAATATAGTGGTTAATAGTGGTGAATAGTGGTTATGAAATATCTGGTTGGTGGTTTGGAAGTTTTCTATTTTTCCATATATTGGGAATGTCATCATCCCAACTGACGAACTCCATCATGTTTCAGAGGGGTAGGGCGAAAAACCACCAGCCAGAGGGTATCCCATATAAATCACCATATAAATCCCAAATTAACCCCCATCAAGAATCACAAAACATTTTTCCATCACTGGTTGTAGCCTTACACGTAAATAGTGCTTCAAGCCCATATAAATCCACTTAAACCCCATTAAATCCCATTATCACTGGTTGTAGCTATTAAATTAGTGGTACATGGAACTTGTTAAATATAGGCTATCACCATATAAATCCCATGAAAAACCCCATGGGAATGCCACGGATCCTGGTGATCCCAGGATGTTTGGGCCTCTCTGGGATCAGCCAGGGACACCCAGATATCCGTTTTCGGCTGACGATTGAAAAAACCCCTGGTGGTTGATGTTTCTAGGGTTAAAAAACCATCAAGCATTTTTGGGGAACAGATTAGGGGATATAGTGAAAAATATAGTTGTTAAATGATGCTTGGTTGATGTTTTTTTTTTTGAAGGAACTATTTAATAAGGGTTTTAACCATCAAGAATATGGGGATGTAAGTGGATGTAACTGGATGTAACTGATAATTGATGGTTGGTGGATGTTTAGTTCCGGGCTTATACTACCCTTGATATATTGGGGATTATAGAATCCATAAACTGGGAATCCCATTCTTAACCAACCAGTGTATATAATGGAATGACAGAGGATTTGGAACAATGCTCAACGGGGATATGAATGGGATATGAAGGGGAGGATCATCTCATTTGATATGTTGGATATGGCTTTATCTGAAACTAAGGTACTCCTAAACCGACTGCTTGACCATCATTTTCCTTATCATTTGATGGCTATTTAAGGGTATACCGATATACCCTATTCTCACACAGACCCATACAATGGGAAAATGACATAATTTCCATGAATGGGGAAATACTAGCCAACAATAGGGGATATATGATAGAAGATGGAATAGTAACTGTGTAGGATCACCATAGTTATACCCCACATATATATATACACATATATTTATATTTATATTTATATACGCACAAGTGGGACAACCGACCCTTACTGGGGACTTCCGATTTGTGAGATGAGCCCGAAACAAACAACGCGATTTTTCAAAACATGGGATCTCCAAACGACAGGATGAGACCACCAGAACGTTGTGGATCCCTTGGGGATGAGCCTCTGGTTATGACTAACAGTTCGCCATGGTTTTTCGATGGCCCTCATCGAAATAGATGGTTTACTTATTAAAAATGCATGGTGAATCTTTCCATGGCGAACTGTGAATGTCATAACCAGATGGTATATCCTCTGGTAGCTTCTCTTGGTCCAATGCTCTACCTCAGGGATATTGGAAAATTTGTTACCCTCCCTGAGGTTTGAACAAGAACTGAACTCGGAGAAAGCTCCTTGGAAGATTTTGAAGTTGGAAATTTGGTGACCTTTCACCTCCGGCAATTTCCACATGACTGGCTGGGAAATCCCCTAGAAATGGATATAAATGAAAGGTTTTAGTTTTAATGGGAACAGCATCTGTAAATGTTGGATTGTCCATTGCCCTGTTTGATTACCAGAGGCTAATCCCATGTAATCCCCCCAAAAGCGTGTTATATATATATTTTTATATCAGTTTTGGGACATTTGACAGACTATTGAAAGGAGTCATACCCAAATCTTGGGTCTTTGATTGGTTTGCTGTGGGATTTCTGAAGATTTTAAAAGTGATACCGTATCGTGACAGCCGGACATTGTGATGGTGATTCCAATGTCGGATTTCTTTTTTTAGTTCTAGGATTGATGAGGGCATCAAGATTTTGGGATGTACATTAAATCAATTGGCTATGTAAGGGCTATTTTTTAGGGGATATATATACCCCCAAAATATGGCCAAACATATGGTACTAACGTACCTCCAATCTGTTGGATCCTGGAATGCAGTGAGGCGGAAGCAACTGGATGATTTTCTTCTACGACCAACCGACCCAACTGGTTTTTTGCCTCATTGTTTACACGTTTTTGGATCAATTTCCTCAAACGAAACGATCCTGGGTGGTAGCTTTGTGGCTTCAATATGTTTCTATGAATTCATTTCAATCACTTTCACTCGTTATTTTCCCTAAGATCGGAGGATGATCTTGTTTGTTTCTCATATTTTTTTGAGGCCCAAGGTTGGGGAGGTGGCCTTGATGAGATTGTTGGATAGATCAGCAAAACAATTTTCAGGGCATCTGTACTTGGAAACCAAAATCATAGGGAAAAATCATAGGAAAATCATGGGACAATCATAGGTTAATGATGGTTAATCATGGTTAATAAATGTTAATAATGGTTAATAATCACTGGTTGGTGGTTTCAAAGATTTGGATGATTTTCCATTTCATATATGGGATGTCATCCTTCCCATTGACAAACTCATATTTTTCAAGATGGTTATCGCACCAGCAACCAGAACAGTATCATCATCCTCAGGTCTATTTTCTTTGTGGCAATGCCCATTTATATTCACCATTGTTCTATTGCAGATATGGGGATATCATTATGCGGATTCGTGTGATGCCATCAACTCACCATAAACAACTTTTTTGTGTCATCGCAACTGGCTTGATACCCATGTTGCTGGGTCTGAGAATTCACAGGAATCCGTTGTGATACCCAAAATGACAGGTTCACCCCATCGGTTTTCCAATGACTTTTTAATACAATACCAATCCAGTGAGAGGATCATGGTCTTTTTTCGCCCCAAAATCCCTCATTTTGTTGGCTTCAAACCGCATGGCCAGGGTCCTTGGGTCCTTGAACCACCATTTCACGCACCGTTTCATCAACATCGGAACCATTCACCCCAATTGAGTCACCAAGCTTTGAAGCAAGTCTTGTTGGTTGAACATATGATGATAGTAATGCGGGTAAAACAATGCCATAAACCACTCATGACTGGGAATGGTAAACATATCACCTATAAAAATGGTGATGACTGGGGGATGGTAAACATGGCATTGTTTTACCCACATTAACAATACTATTAATGATGATAATAGGCAAATGGGGATGGGTCGAAACCTATTACTGTATTACATATTATTACCATAGGACCATATCCACTAACCAGCTACGACTTAGGGTACCATCCGGGACCCAAGGTTTTGACTAATAGTCATATAAGTCATATAAGTCATATAAGTCATATATCATGGAATCTCGATTTGTTCAACCGCCCCATTTTCTGTTTCTGTGAATCCACCTTGTTGCTGGTTCCAACCACCCATTCTTGCTGATCAAAATCCCAATTTGCTGGTGAAATCCCAGTCGGATCCCTATGGATTTCTTGGTGAAATCCCAATCGGAAGTTTGAACCAGTGAACTCTTCCGGATTTTTCCCAGTGAAATCAGCATATTTTCCTTATTTTTCATGGGTCATTAAATGTCACCACTGAACATCACCCAACCATGAGGTATCTCATCTATAATTGCCATTCAAAGGTGATGTCCAGTAGCCCCAAAATGGGACATTTACCAATCCCTGTTTTTGGTCAGTGAACTTCTGGGATTTCCCCGGGGAAATCTCCGAATTTTCCTCATTTTTCCCTCGTGAACCCTGCCGAAGCCGAAGCCGATCCCAAGGATCCGGTGGTAGATGCGGATGGGGTCCGCGCCAATGTCCGCGCCTTGAAAATCAACTGCGTGGATTTTGAGGCCTGGAAGTTGTTTGGTGGATGGTTAGATTAAGTACATTGATATATATAGTGGATACATTGATATATGATATATATATATTATATATATAATATATATATATATTATATAATATATATATATAATATATATATATATTATATTATATATTATATATATATTATATATATATTATATATTATATTATATATATCTATATCACATATATATATAATATTCATATGTAGTGGATTATCTATGAATTCTACTACTTTCTGTGATTTTTGGTGGTTGGTTAGATTAAGTAGTTGATATATGGGCCTTTTTGATGTGAAAACCATATAAAACCATGCGAATTCCCCATTTATGGAACCCCCATATAGTGGATTTAATAAAGTTGCTATATATATATATTGCATTATCTATGGTTTATATAGTCGACAATAGTGGATTATCTATGATTATTAGTGGATTTTGGGAAATTCACCGGGGAAATGTTCGTGGATTGTGCTGGCGGGATGTTTCACCCAAAAAGCAACAGATGAAGCAAGAAATGGGGGAGATGTTGCTCATGAATATGTTAAGCCTCCAGTTATCCTCAGGTTTCCCATGATCCGAGAAGTTTACTACATAGCAATTTTTCGCTTGAAGTGATACGACCAAATTTTCATGGCTGAAAAAGCATCCCGTCTTGCCAAGATGCCCAACGCATTTTTTTTCGTGATCAAACTCCGGTCTTTTGCTGACTTCAATCCCTTGGCTTCAAAACCTCAATTTTTGGATCAAACTCCTCTGCTTGGTTCAATTCAAAATACCCTAACTATATGTCATGCTATACAAACATGAATTATATATATATAGATAGATAGATAGATAGATAGAGAGAGAGAGAGAGATAGATAGATAGATAGATAGATAGGTAGATAGGTAGGTAGATAGGTAGATAGGTAGATAGGTAGATAGGTAGATAGGTAGATAGATAGATAGGAATTATATTCTAAGATACCTCCTCCATTTTGTTCCCGCCGTTCGGAAAAAAAAAACACAGATCTCTCCAGGAAACGTGCCAGCAACAGAAGGTGCAGGCCTTTCCCACTGTAAGGTGCGCTTCCGAAAAAATGGGGGAAGGTTTTCTGCTAAAACCCAAACTGAGGGATTTTAGGAGAAGATTGGGACTTTTTGGGACTTTTGACTTAAAAGGCAATTATATATCCGCGACAAGCAGCAGACGAAAGGGGATTTAAGAACTATCCCGGGGACATTTTTGCCACAAGCAACATGGGTTTTCAGGTTTTGAAGCATGAAAAATCCCATTAAATCACCATTAAATCACCATTAAAAGCAACAAAAAAAAAAAAGCGCAACATGGGTCATGACTTGCCAATGACTTTCAAGGTCGAATTTTTGGGATGTTTTGGACCGCTGGCCGAGCATTTTGAGATGCCCTGTGTTGCGACATGAAAACAGTGGCTGTGGGACACCACTATTGGTTGATTTTTTTTGGTCTGGGCTTACACTATGAGAAATACCCTCTTGTAAACGTTTACATAACTATGGAAAGATCCACCATTTTTAATGGGTAAATCCACTATTTCTATGGTCATTTTCAATAGCTATGTTAGTTTACCAGAGGGTATATCATAACCCATCATAGGAATCTCCATGAATCGACCAGAAAAAAATGGAATGATAGAAGGTTTTGAACATTGCTCACATATTTTCTAAATGTTTTTTTTTGCATTTCTGTGAGAGTTGTATGGAGATCCGGTTTACTCAAGCAATCAAGAAGCACAAGGGACAAACCGAGAAACCTGACTTAGCCTAGTTACACACGGCGTTTTGCCATCATGTTCTTAATGGGAGGAACCAAGATGTATATTCCCTGACTGGTTGCAGGCTATATCGACGCGGGAGCGCTGGCAAAAATTGGGCCTGGAACCAAGAGCTTTCTGTGAGAGAGCTGAATATCGCCACCTTGCTAATCCCTTTCCCCTACTTAGGAGGTGCAGTTGGGGTGGACAAAGATGGTTTCCATGGTGATCCCCTTTATAATTGGATCGTGGCTCCAAGATTGGAATTTAAGATGCTAAATGGGTTGATAGGATGTTATATAGTCCTTTAACAAGGTCTTCCGTTTGCTCCATGTTTGCGGTGAGCAACCCAAAGAATCGAAGAGTAGAATCCGATTCTAAAAAATAACGATCATAATTTAATTTAGGTGGTTATAATCAACTATAATCAGTAGATCTGATTCCTATCTTTGGGTTTACCAAGAAATCAGTTGATCCAAAGGGCGGCAGAACCAAGGCTGATTTCAGAGGTCAACGCAGTGGCGAGGTTGGACATGGGGCAAATCCTGAATGGTCGGGGAAGCCAGCAAAAGATAGTGACACAAATCCTATCCGAAGCTAAGAAATAATGAGAAATCACGTTTCTTTTTTCTGAATCTTTTTTGGGATTGCTATAGTGCCAAACCCCACTCATTTTCTGTGGATTTGGTCTGATTCTGCATGTTGACTCACTTCAAACGCGGTGTATTTGGGGCTATAGGTGGATAATTTTCCCCAGCATTTCATGATAATTTTTGATCACATCAGTCGGATCATCGGCAGAGAAGGGAGGCGTCACAAAGTGTCCTCCGCTCAAAATGATCAGCTGACATTAGAGTGTGAATTACAGGGTTTCTCAAAACAGTTTGAGATGTTCAAGACCCAGAAACCTCTGGGTTTGCCCCAAAAAATAGGCAACCCCGGACTCCGGTACCTTGGGGAGCACACGGAAGCGACCGCACGAGGCACTCTTGGCGTTTGCCAAAGAAGAGGTGAAGAAGCGGCACATTCACACAGGTGCCTCCGGAAGAAGATGGCAATATGGTATGACATTGGTATATAAATGGGGAATGTATATGGGGGTTTCCATAAATGGAGCTCCAATAGCTGGATGGTTTATAATGGAAAATCCATCTATCAATGGACCCCCATGACTTAGAAAATCCCCACCAAGATGACTAAGGGCCACAGATGGGGTAGACATGGACCCACAAGTGTCTCGAAGCCCGAAATTCCCGAAGTCAAGAATTGAGTTTCTCATCGGATACGGCTATCCTGGAATCATTTGGTTGGCAAATGTTGGGTGGGACCAAACTCCATCTTTTAATTTACGCTAGTTGCGGTGCAACCTCACTAGAATGATGTGTTTTACCGGTCAGGATCGCAATCAGTTGCCTTCCGCCAAGTCAGGAAATTGCTACATTGTTACATTTTAACCATTTTTTATTCGTTAAGTATCGGTTGTACAAGCAACAGCCATTAGAAAACAATGGATTATTCAACTTTTTTAATGTGATGGAGGCCCATGGCTTCAATACTCCAAATGCTGTTTCCGCTCAAGTCAAACTTAGTTTCCCCCTTTTCAGTCAGAATGGCGAAACATCCCAAGAATGACAAGCATTGTTTGTTGGTCTACTGAGGGTCGCTCCAACCCAGTTTGGTCGAAATCCAAACTCTCGGTCTCTTGGTGGAGCGACCACCATCCTTCATTTGTTGATTGGCACCCCACCGTTGTCGCTAACACGTCCCGTCCATTGCCATCTGGAAATCACTTGGCACTCATGAAAATTGCCTTTGTTTACCCGGCCTGGTAATTGAACAGTTTGCTATTTTTAGTGGTTTTATATGGTTTTATGGGAAAAACATGGGAATATATGGGGATACCCTCTGGTAATTTAACAGTTTGCGAACTGGAACATGGCCTTTTTGAAATAGTTGGTTTACCGATGAAAAATGGTGATTTTCCATAGTTATGTTAGTTTACCAGATGGTACCCAGTAATCAAACATGGTAATGGACATTTCCCCAACTCGTTGACGTCCTCGGACACCTCCATATGATTGATTTCGGAGCCTTGTTTGGTGACACCGGAGGATAGAGGCACAGGTTGAAATCCTACATGACACAAATGAAGCACATGCTGTAGGTGCGCACTATCACGATGTCTTCGCAGAGAGTTGTCGCATCTCTGCATCTTGGTTATGAGACCGAAACGTGGCTGGATTTTCACCTCGATTCAAGGTGTGACCTTTTTTTTAGGGGGCCACATTCAGCAGCAAAATCGACTTCGGGACAGGGTTGCATGTTGAATTTTAGGTGCGTAACTATTCACAACTTTAATTTTGACCAAGTAACGCCGGAGTGCAGTCCCTGAGAAAGTGACCTTCTGTTTCTCTTTGTGAATGGCAATAGAAACAGGAAGGCTTCTTCTGGCGGCCATGGGCCATTTTTTTGTGGGGACCGGTCGGACCAGCCCCATGAAGCCACGACAGACCCCTTGGTGGTCACTGGGTCCACCGACGGCCCACTTCTCAGGGCTTGGTCGAAGTAGCGCGAGTTCCGGGGACGCTGCACTTTCAGGCCGGCTGTTCATGTGAAGCTGCAGTCTGAACGATTGCTCAAAAAGTCAGTTTTTTTTTTGGGGGTAACTCATATTCAATTGGTTTCAAATGGTGCTTAACATGTTGGTTTTGGATAGTATTGAATAGTTAGTGGTGCTCACAATGATTATTTTGCTGTACTAATGTTTTTTTCCATTCAAGTTGTGATTCTCGATAGTTTTGAGGTACCAAATTGAGAATTGAAACTTGAAATTGGGATGGTGGGGGTCATTTAGGCAGCACTGTTTGGGGGACACCAGGGGATTTGACCAAGAAACAACCAGGATTTATTCCGTAAGGATTTGTCAGCTTCACTGACCGAAAATCTGGATCCATGTTTCGGAACGTCTCATGCTTCCCAAAGCATGGATGATTCTCGCAGCGAACTAAACCTCCATTTTTCGAACGACCTTTGGAGAGCCATTTTTTGGCGACCAAGCTGTCCCTGGGTCAGATTTCGATCATATTGCGTTGGAGGGTGGGGAGTATTTTCAGATATTTTCAGCACAAAAAAAACTTTTTGCGGACTTGCATAACAACAAAGAGCCCATAAAAATACGATGATTCTTCAGAACCAATAGGATTTTACAACAGGATTCACTCCGAGGTAACATGACCTTTTTTAATCACCGGGACATGTAGAGAACCTGTACCGTATTTACTCATGGATTTGAACTATTTCCAGCTTAGACCACTAGAGGATTAATTACTCCAAACTGGGGTATGCCACTATAACCCATTTTTTTTAAAACAATTGAGGAGTCACAAAGCCATGTGCCCATGGTTTTTCACATCGAAATGTTGCGGCTGACCGAGTTCCGCAAACCATTGGTGGAACATAACACCATATAGATTTGATGCAAAAAAATCATCAGGTGAGGAAACACAGTATCAAATCTATGGTTTTTATCAACATACTATTTCATAAGATTTGGAATTTATGGCCAGAGCTTGCGATTCTCAGATTTTCTGATTAGAAATTCGAATCGTGTAACCAACCAAAACCAAGCGGTGAACAAGAAACACCTGGGATTTTGGCCTCTCATTTGGTGGCCAAAATCCCACCAAATGCATATCTTCCCAGCAGTCAGTTGCCTCAAAAAAACCAGCCCGATGAAATTTTCGTTGGCCAAATTTTGATGGTAAATTCCCATAGTTTGATGGTTAAGTCCCCAATTTGTTGTGGTTATACAGTTATACAACACCCTCCGAGCCACATTCATTCTTCTTGGTTGGTTAAGTCTCCAAACATTGATTGAAACGATGTGGCTTTCTATCCTCAATTTTCCATCCTCAGTTTTTCTGCCCCGATTTATTTTACTACGACCCAAAACACGACAAGGCAGTGCACAATGCTGAACGAACCTTGAACTTGGCCTATACCAATGTTGGGAAGCTCGGGTCTGTCGCCTAGGGGTCTGTTTGAAAATGGGGCTATACCACATTTTTTTGAAAGATGGGCTTTTTATGGATCCATTTTGATGGGGATATCTTATGGGCAAATGGGATTAGTAACCAACCATACAATTTTTCAGGTTACCCTCTGGTAAACTAACATAACTATGGAAAATCACCACTTTTAATGGGAAAACTCACCATAACTGGCCATTTTCAATAGCTATGTTAAATTACCAGAGGGTAATTGTGAAAACCAGGATTACAACCATCAAGCTGGGGAGTTCCCCTACCTTCGGACGATTCGCCCAGATTCAGCCTCAGAGTGGGGTGCGAAATATGGAGGTTTGGACTAGCCGACACCACTTGCGGGTGATTTTTTCCACCAAAGCCTCTGGTTGGTTGGAGGTCCTATATAAGCTTTGAGACCAAAATTGGGGTGACATGAGGATTAGAAGAAGAAGTCCAGATCTTGAGGCACTTAGCCTCTGGTAATTTCTAACACTTTGCGAAGTGGACAATCACCATCTTTAAGTTCGGTAAATCAACGAACGAAATGGGTCATTTTCAATAGCAATCTTACATCCCATGATACCCTCTGGTAAACTAACATAGCTATTGAAAATGGCCATGATGGCCATGGCTTCAAGAGCAAACTGTTACAAATTACCAGAGGGTAAGTGCCAGGAATTTGGGGACATCCAACATGGCAATGGATTTTCCGCCGAGTTATCGATGATGTTCTCAGTTATAAAAAAAAGTTGTTTTTACTTCCATTGACTATATTATAGATAAAGCTGTTGTATCATATAATATAATATATGATATAATATATAATATATATATAATATATATATATAATATAATATATATATAATATATATATAATATATATATAATATATATATATATAATATATATATATATTAATATACGTTCCGTTAAATTATATTCCCGTTTACATAGCATGTTGCTCACATGTAAATCCCGAGAAATATGGGTCATGAATAGTATCAGGTCCAGATCTAGACATTTCAATGGCGACTTGACCGCTGTGTCAATCCAGTTTTGAGGCTCCGATACTCTGCCATTTCAAATGTGATCGAACTTGGGTAGATTACCCCTCTTGGGGAATGGTTATCAATATATCAACAAGAGTCCATTGCAAGGAAATCCAAACAATAACAATAGTAAAAAACTGACCTATATAAGACCATCTACCATGTAACTTATGGGTGGCACATAAAGGATTCAATGGTGATTGAGAAATGGAGAGCCGTGACAATATCAAGACTGTGTCAACTGGCACGACCAAACGGTCCCTTCAGCTTGATGATATATTATCATTATTATCAGTACATTGTGATAGCAAAAAATCATGATAACTTATCACCATATAATCATTATATTATCATGATAATTATCTTCATAATGATTATCATGATAAAAAACATTCCACTATGATGAGTATTATCATTATAATCTATTACTTTAATAATGGATATTAGTAGACTGCCCTTTATACAGTCAGTACCCCCTGGTTATTTAACATAGCTATGGACAATGGCATTTACAGATGATTTTCCCATTAAAACCTCCATTTACAATGGATTTTCCATGGCTATGTTAGTCATAACCAGATGGTAAATACCCTCTGGTAAACTAACATAGCTATGGAAAATCACCAATTTTAATGGGAAAACTCACTATAAATGGCCATTTTCAATAGCAAACTGTTAAATTACCAGAGGGTATTATCCATTATATCCCCTATAAATCTCTATAAATCCCATAAATCATCATAAATCCCCATTATTAGGAGGGTAATCCCCCATGTTTCATGGTTAAACCAGAGGGTAAATATCTTCATTTTTCTCCTCCTCCATCTCCCCTGGCATGGCCTCTCCGTGAATCCAACAGCGTGAAGCCAAGGTGTCGCACACGGTGCACTCCTTCGTCTTTGGCAGCAACAACGTGTCTTGGCCCGTTCAGCACGGTGGTTGTTGGGACCTTTAGGCCCAAAAAAAAATAGGGAAACTATCTGGTGTCTGTTTTGTTGATTAATGGTGGATTAATGGGATATAATTCCAATACCCTCTGGGAATTTAACAGTTTGCTATTGACAATGACCATTTATAATGGATTTTCCCATTGAAAATGGTGATTTTCCATAGCTATGTTAGTTTATTGGAGGGTATCATGGTTATTCAAAAACCTGCTGTTTCTAGTTATAGTTATAATGGTTCTTCATATCATGGTTCTTGTTAATAGTTATCATGGTTGAAATCCTGCTGTTTCTCTATTGGACGTCCGGTGGCTGCACTCACCGTCGGAAAAGAGCCGTCGGCAGAAGATTTTGGACCGGAACAAGATCGTCATAGGCAAAACAATGAAAAAGCGACTGTTTAAATTCATGGCTGGTTGGTGGTGACTGGAACATGGCTATGGAAAATGGCTATGTGGAATAGCTATAGAAGGTATCCATTAATGGTAACATCTACCACTGGTTGGTGCTTTGGAACCATGGAATTTTGAATGACTTTCCATTCAGTTGGGAATGGAACATCATCCCAACATCCCAACATCCGTTTGGCTTGTCATTGACAAAGGCAACTATGCCAAAATAGTGGGTAACACAATTCATCCAACTATCTATCAACTTATTTATTTTATTTTCATCTATGTTGGAATAGTGGGTAAAACTATGAAATAAGGTAAACATTTCATCTTATTTCATCCAACTATGAGCTTAATGTGGGTAAAACAATGCCATAAACCAGCCATGACTGAATGGTAACCATACCACCTATTAAAATGGTAATTTTTTGGGATGGTTTATTATTCTTTTACCCACACTAGTGAAGTATGAACATTTACCCAGACCGATGCAAAAAAGACCAGTCTTTCCCGCAGTTTTTCGGGGTATGCTGTGCACACTTTCATCCGAAGCGTTGATGTGTGGGATTTCTTCTGAAGTGCTGATCGGTGTCCCCCCCCAAAAATAGTTACACGAAGATGCTCTTCTCAGTAGATTTTGTTTGTTGTAACAACTTGTAATCACATTCTTTCTGGAGTGCTGATCCGTGGAAGCCCAGGGAAAACAAGACCCCTACCCACAGCATCTGGGGAATTATCTGAAGAATCATCCGTGCGAGTCATAGCTTGATCAGTTTGATCTATTTCATTTCATGTCATTTCATTTCTTGGTTAAGGTTGCTGCTAGAATCAACGGATTATCATGGGTTATCGTGGATTATTATGGGTATGGATCAATACCTATTAATACCATTTTTAGGGGGATGAACATCCATTTACCAGCTATTTTGAGGTTCACCAGGGGTACAAGGTTTTGACACACTGCCTTATGGATAATGATAATGGATACATTTGGATATACCCTCCCGTAATCAAAGATGGCAATGGAACATCTCCCATTTCAATCCGATGTTTTTTGCAGCCTTACACCTCCATTAACAGATGTTTTTTTCCGCATTTTTCCATTGAAACCTCCATTTGTTTGATGATTTTCCTAGCTCTAAACCTCCATGAAGGAGGATTTTCAAGCCACCTTTGATCTCCCAGGCCGGGCCCCTGCATGTGAACATAGCGAATCTTTGGTCGTGCGCTGGCTAAACATGCGAAGTTGACCTAAGGTTTGGATTGAACAAACATTGGGGGTTTCAACAAACATATGGATGACATCAACAGAAATGTGTATGAAAGCAGAAAAAAACATTGTTGATTTTTTGAACCACTAGAAATCAATCAAGAAAAGGGATAGGGGCAACCAAATATCAGGACGGAGTCATCAAAAACGATGAGTCAGATTGTGAATAAGACTCCAGCAATTCTATGGCAGGAAATCGTGAGAAAACTCGACAAACTTTTGGGGCTTCTTTTCTGTTTGCCACCATTGAATTTCAGGCATAGAATCCGAAATCTAAGATGACATGAAACATACCGAATCCGATCGGCTGCATTGGCTGTGAGTTGGTATCCCTACATTCGACTTTCACTGGGTTTGCTGAAGGGAACATCCACAGGAAAATTGTTTAGCATAATATCTGGGTAAACTATAACGACCTCACTACGACCTCACTGGGAATCATGGTTAGTAAGGGGAATCATCCCCAAATGGCCTTAATTCAGGTTGGTGAAATATTATAATTTACCCAGATATCATAGGTGGTTCCTGTAACATGTTTTCTACAAGCCTCCTGCACTCCCCGAACGAAATGGTGAATTTTCCAGCCATGTTGGAACCAGAGGGTAATTACAGCCCAGCAAGCCCGAACAAAAGAGCCATCCTGTGGATCGTTGTGAAATCCGAATCACGAGTTGGTAGATGGTTGTTTATCCCCTTATCATCCCATAAAAGTTACATATGATCTACATATATATATATATGTATATACACATTGTTTTTGATATATATATATGTATATATAAATATGTATCAAAATAATATATATATATATATATCAAAATAATATATATATATATATATATATCAAAATAATATATATATATATCAAAATAATATATATATATATATATATATATCAAAATAATATATATATATATATCAAAATAGTATATATATATATATATCAAAATAATATATATATATTTATAAATACACATATATATATATATATTCTCAGATATATTTTCTCATTCTCATTGTAATGATCATTATATCTATGGATTTAATATCTACCATTGGGATCACTGGTTACCAATCCCATACCTGGGTGATTCCGATTTACCACAGGGACTTGTTGGTGATATAGCCATGATCATAAACAAACTTATAATGGGGAGCACCACCCTGCATTATATATATATAGATCTACATATACATATATATATATATTATACCGTATAAATTTGATTATATGCATATACATATATATATATGTATATATATATATATTGTATATATATATATACACATACATGTATGTATGTATATCAACCCATTCCCGTGTTTCACTTTTGGCGCCTTCTGAAACTTCAGGGCGACCTGGAGTGGATTCAAACAGAATCTGAACCCTTTGGCGGGAAAGACCTTCTCAGTGTCGAGGCGGGATTGGGTCGCGCCCAGGGGCTGCGAAAGGGCGAAAGAGTCTGGCAGGTGAGTAGTAAACATGGGGAAAATTCACCATGGTATCAACATAGTTATGGGTATATATTATGTATATATATATACCATCTGGTCATTTAACATAGCCATGGAAAATCCATATGAAAATCCATTATAAATGGAGGTTTTAATAGGTAAAGCATCTATAAATGGGCCATTTTCCATGGCTATGTTAAATAACCGGAGGGTATATATATATAATATATATATACACCTCAAAAGAATATGACCCCCCATAAGTTGGGATATAACTCCCATTTTACCCCCAGAAAACTATGGGTGTGCTGTATATCCATGTGACTATCCACTTTAATCTCGAACCGTACTTCCAAGTGGGGGGATGGCAGGGCTGATGTTGAAGAAAGTGGGCTTCTATAGTAAACTCACATAGCCATGGAACTATAGATTGCCCTTTTTAAAATTCGATGATTGTCCCATGAAAAGATCAATTTAGTACGGTCATTTCCCAACCAATATCATGGGGATATACAATGGAGATACAATGGAATGTATTCGAAAGCATAGAAATGGGATGAAGATGCCCCATGAGAATCATCTTTTCCAGATGGGTTCAAGCCACCAAGTATTGGATCCCAAGATAATCTTAGTGAAACGCACTGTTAAACTGGTAGGAAAAGTGGTAAACCTGGACACCGATTTTATAAGTCAAGATCATCGAAGTAACATCCTGGTGTTTCCACACTTTTGGGCATCTTTGTTTGGGGGTTGTCAAAGTGAAAATCATCAAACGATCATCAATTCAATGATGTCTGAAGGCTCATCCTCCATGGAAGTCGGCGAACACTATGGACATGAGGGATATCATGGGATACTGTATGGGACATTACTAGTGGCGGTGGTGGTAGTAGTAGTAGTAGCTGTAGGAGTAGGAGTAGTAGTAGTGGGAGTAGTAGGAGTAGTGGGAGTAGTGGGAGTAGTAGGAGTAGTAGGAGTGGGAGTAGTAGGAGTAGTAGTAGGAGTAGTAGTAGGAGTAGTAGTAGGAGAAGTAGTAGGAGGAGTTGTAGCTGTTGTTGTAGTTGTAGCTGTAGTTGTAGTTGTAGTTGTAGTTGTTGTTGTAGCTGTATTGTTGTTGCTGTTGTAGTTGTAGTGTGGCACGGTTGAACCTCGAGAGTGGTTCGAACATGGTGTGTTTTCACATTTTGCCCTCCAAATGTGCTTCGCGCCACACGGGTGTACACTTGTTCGGCATTCGGCAGCTCAACCTCCAAAAGTGGTCCGAATATGTGGTGTTTTTGCCATTTTGACTTGGAAATGTGCTTCGCGCCACAATGGCATGCACTTTTTCATCATCTCAACTTCCAAAAGTGCTCCGAGAATGGTATGTTTTGTACATTTTGACTTCGAAATACGCTTCGCGGCGCAAAGGCGTGCACTTTTTCAACATCACAACTCCCAAAAGTGCTCCGAACGTGAGGTGTTTTTAGCTTTTTCACTTGCAAATGTGCTTCGTGCCACAACGGCGTGCAATTTTTCATCTCTCATCTGGCCAGATGGCTTTGCACCCGCCGCTTTAGCGAGCCTACTTTTCGTCCGGAGCCGCAAATCATTGGAGAAACGCAGTGTTTCGCGACTTTTCTACCTTATCACGCACCTGCATCTTTTTGCTTCTGACTCTTTCTCTTCTCTGACCTTTCTTCTTCTCTTCTCTTCTCTTCTCTTCTCTGACTCTTCCCACCTCTGCTTTTTCATCTGTCCATATTGTCGGAAGTTTGACTTTTAAACTTTCGTCGATTGACCAATCCCAAATCATCTTAAGCCAACCAACACCTGTGAATCCCAAATGAGCAGAACCAGGCATGTTCCACCATTTTTTTTTCCTGTGTGTGTGTCTTTTTAGGGGCAAGGGGTCACGGGATCAGGGAGGGTTCAGGTGGTGAATAAGGCTGGTTAATAAGTACCCGATTCGTGGGCTATCGCATCTAGAAACGGATTGTGTCTATAGCATTTTATAACTATTAGCTATGGTTACTGGCCAGTTATTAAGTGGGATGATCCGCCAAGTATCTTCTGGTTGGGGGGTTCAAATATTCATGGGTTGTTCAACCATAGAAATTTGATGTTTGGTGGAGATGGCAAGCATATTTTTGGGATGGGTCAACATTTTCAAACCATGTTACACATGTTGACACCACCAACCAGTCTTGTTGGATCTTGATTCGTTTTGATGAACTATACTTCTTGGTTGCGGTGCATCATCCTTTTTCAGGTTGTTGAAATCACCAAAAAAACAGTCAATTGAACGTTCGATTGATGAGGGAACTGCTTGGAACCCTAATGAACAGTCCTTTGTGGTGCTAGTTCCAGTTTCGTTGCTTAAGTCCTTGTTTTTCGCGTGCAATTTTTGCTGCTTAAATCCATGTAATTTCCATAGAATTTGTCGTCATAAGTTCTGCCGTCAGGTTCCATCAGGCACCTCATCATTATCTCAAGGTGGTTCACACCAAGATGGGCCAGGCCATGGCAAAACGGCAGATGTGGTCCCATTATCCATCGGTAATCAGCCTAGCAAAAATGCCAATGGAAACATCATCAGGGGCCATACCAATTATGTGGACTAGATATGGATTATCACCTGTAGTAGATATATCTAGATATGGGTTCATTGTTATGTTTACTACGTGACTACATGGATTCCGATTTTCACGTTCCCCATGGAAGACTTCGAGCCGCCAGAATCGGATGTACCAACAAACCCATCAATGGAGCGCACGCAACGTGGCACGCCGCGCCGTGCGGGGCCCCAGAACTCGGAGATCCTGGGTGAGACGGGTGCAAGTTAATTGGAGAAAACATTAAATATATAAATATATAATAAAAAAAAATATATATAGATAAATATTTGTATATATATGTATATAAACAGAAATATATCAGTATTTGTATATATATATATATAAAAATACAAATGTACATATATACAAATATATATATATATATAAATAAATATAAAAATATAAATATTTATAAATATATATATATATATAAATATCTAGATATATTTAAATATACATAGATATTTATAATTATATATTTATAATTATATATTATTTTGTACATATTTGTATATATAAATATAAATATAAATAGACACATATATATATAAATATATATAAATATATATATACATATATATATATATACACATATTTATATATACATATTTATAAATACATACATACATACATACATACATATAAATATAGATACCAATATAAATACAAAAATAAATCTAAATATAAACATAAATATAAATTAGAATTTAAATAAATTTGAACCTTAAATGTATATGTATATATATATACATTGTATGAATCATGGACTATGGAAACATATTGTTCGGCTATGACTAGAACACCCCACAATATTAAAGTTGGGTACGGTTTCTTTTTGGGTTTACCGCACTTGAAGGTGAATGAGATACTGATGCGAATTGATGAGAAAGAAGTGCTGTAAACTTTACAGTGCCTGCTTTCAGTTTCACAAGTCTGACAGGTCTACGAGTCTACCAGGCTAGAGTACCAGAAAATCGTTTTGAAAATTGCAAATTCATATATCCATTGGCGGAGGATTTTCTCATCTTCAGCTTGGTTGATTGAGATACTTATATGTGTTGATTCACTCCCAATTTGTCACGACTGTTGATGGTTGATGAAATTTGAATGGTTGTCACTCCCTCACATCTGAAAGAAAGGAGACTAGTTTGAGACAATTTGAGTCGTTTACTCCTATAATCCCTTCTCCCTAATATTAAACACCTGGCGGAGACCATGGTTTTGTAAAGGATAAAGGATTTACACTTATTTGGTACCATGTAAGGGCGTTTCATATTAGGCGGATGATCGAATTTCCAACAATCATTTTCAGATTGCCATGAAAAGAAAAACATGGGTTTTTCCAAGGTTTCCAGGCCTTTCCACTTTTTTTTGGAGGGGTTCCTATGTCAAAGCCATGGGAAGCCGTGCTGCAACGCTGCACGGCGAAGCCACGGCGGCCCAGGTGCCGCAGGCGAAGTTCTCCTACGACTTGTCTCCCGTTGAGGTGGTCATCTCCTATTCGCGACGGAGGTGCCATGGTGCCATGGGAGGAGTCCAGAAATATAGGTATTTTGAATTTTGTGGAAAAGATGTAGATAATATAGTCTATATATGTCTATATGGTGTGTATAATATATATATATATTTGAAGATTGTAGTTTTTTTTTTTAAATAGAAACTAATTATAGTAAGTTAATGTAAGTTATATAGTATATTTTCTAGTATCTATAGTGGTAACATTATCTGACACGATCATCTTTGCCGTGATCATACAGGATTTGAGGCACGACCTTTCTGAGCCATAGCCCTGCCCAAATTCGGAAAAGTTTTATGTTTTGTTGCTGCGAATATAAAGCATCATAAAGCCATCAAAAAGAATTCAGAAAACCAGAATTACCATAATTTTGAAACATAGTGATGGCTGATCCATCAAGAGGTTTGCTCCATTCAGAAACCTTTGAAACAATGGACTTTAATGAATCAAATTTAATGGAGACACAGGATATTCAGCAATGCTAGGATACCTACTGATCAAATTAACTGGTGAATGGGTACAAATCCCTTCTCCCTATTAAGATATACACACGTACCAGAGACCACGATGTTCAGGAAATAAGATCATTTACCAGCGATGAAGATGTACCAGAGATGCTATTTTAGTTCGTCATTCTGCATTGATCTTGCCGCCGCTACCGCTATCATATATTTGTAGCTTTCCAGAAGGCAGATGGCAGTTTATCCAAGAGTATATGTTGCATGTGCCATTCCCTAAGGTCTTTATCTACAGCTGTTCATTTGAGTACGGCTCAAGATGCTATAAAAAATGCGGCTTCCCTGAGGGGTTCATTGGTGGACGGGTGGTACCAACAAAAATTAGGTTTTGGGGTCCTGGGATATGCTGGGTACTTGGGGTGTTGCACTTATACTTGGATAGATTTCACCACAGATTTAGGGCTTATATCCCAACGAATGAGGGTGATTTCACCATGCTTATGACCCATTTTTCCACCCCAACTGCACCTCCATAGGTGGGTCATCCCATGTTCTGGGGATGACTCCAGAAACGCCAGGTGGTATGATTACGTCACCTCTGTTTTCGCTATCATCGTTTGGGCCCCGGAACGCGGTGGTGCAGATGAAGCTGGGGATGGAGTTTTGGCCGGGTGGTACCAAGAAAATCCAACTCCAGTCCTTCAATCTCAGTCTCCTTCCAGTTTTTACGATGTTTTTTTCTAATCAGTATCCCCATATTTTTGAAGTTTCCCATTTCCAATCAACATCGTCATTTCTGGAGGATTCCTCCATTTTTCCGTGAGTACAGCCACTTCAGTGGCCCCTTTCCCCACCAAGTTGCTATCCATTTAACGCCAAATAGTCCCAGAAAAACGATAACATTTACCACTATAGCTTGGAATCAAATTTAGCTAAAACACATCTTTTGAAAAATTAGCTTAGGAGTTACCAACATGTTAGAATCGGATGGTACTGAAATCTGCATCTTTTTGAGAATTGCTGGACTAACTGAGATGTTACTCTCTCTAAATATGAGTTTGAAAATAGGGTGCCCCATTCCACCCACTGATGTTCTCATCTTATATAAATGACTAGAAAATTGGGCTACGAAACCCATTTTCAGACATACCCTTATCGATTGTATTCCCCATTGTCCCATAACATCCCCATCATATCACCATTATGACCTCATCATGTCCCCATCACCATTCTCCGCATTGTATCCTTTATATCCCCATGATATTCATTAACATACAAGGTGGTGCCCCAGTTCGTTAGCTAAGTTGGTGCAAAAAAACTCCAATTTCACTTGAGTCAAAAAAAGGGGGGGTTAATGTACAGTAGTATTGTGCGATCCTTCGTTCAGAATTCCAGGCACCGCCGCAGCTATTTCTGATGTTTTTGGTAATTTTGGGAATGTGCCATTTAGTTGGGGAACGACCCTCTGAACGACATTGGAATGACCTCCTAAATATATATATATGTATATATATATATATTTACATATATTTACAGGTCTAGAAGCATTTAGAACAAATCAGCAGCCAAATTACACCCGGAACCACCCTAAATGCATTTTGGGGCTGGCAAATTGCATCTGGCACCGTTTTTGTAATTTCTGCGACGAGACCCCGGCCTGAGCGGTTTCCCTCTAGAATCATGTCTTTACGAGCCCGAGGCTCTTCCCCGTGCTGTGCCACCAATGCACGTGCACAAAAAATGTTTGGAGACAGGGCCATTTTATAAGGAATGATCCTGGGCGCACCCAAGGCAGTAAGCAGAAGTGCATGTCCACTAGAAACACAAAGGACCCTACCCGTTCCGGGGAATTCAGACAGGGGTCTGATTTTCAGATTGCGCAATTACTGTGTATTCAAGGGTCATTATTTAGCCAGTTTTCTCGGCTCCCAAACGACCTCAGAACGACCTCAGAACGACCTCTGAACGACATCGGGATTTCAGTCAGAATGACCACTTGTCCACAAAAACCCACAGACCGCAGACCATTGTGCGCTGCATTCCAAGTCATTGACCTGATAGCAGTTCCACACATGGGTTAATTTTCCCAGTAACACTGTCAAACTTTTCCGCCATGTTTCAAAATGGCCCCGCCATGGGATTAGAAATGGATAGAAATGGGTATGATATAGCTGATAGCAGCTCTGATGTAGATGCAACAAGCTCTATAGTCCAAACAGTGCAGAATCAAGCGCCGAGACAAAAATATGAAGACCGCCGCTGGAAAATCACATGGTTTGCTTGTGGGATCACGATTTACAAACCGTTTTTTTCCAGCTCACTTGGGTTTATGGTAGATATACCGAACTACTTAATGGGGGTTATAAACCAACAAACATTTCACTGGGGGGCGCCACCTTGTAGCACTATAGATACTAGAACATATGGTTTCCATCCTTCAAAAATTGACCACAACCCAGGTGAATCATCATTTTCCCTGCGCTCCCCCAGCTTCACCCCGTGGTCTTAGTTAAAAATCCCAGTAGAAGCTATGTATATCTTTTATATCCCAGTATATTCTCCCATTATATCCCTATTTTATCACCTGTGTACATACATACAGACAGACATAAAGACAGACATACATACACACAGACATACATGCATACAGACATACATACAGGCATGCATACATACAGACATACAGACAGACATACATATATACAGACAGACATACATACATACAGACAGACATACATAGATACAGACATACATACAGACATACATCCATACATACACACATACATACATACAGACAGACAGACAGACATACAGACATAGATACATACATACAGACATACATACGTATGTACATGCAGACAGCCAGACAGACATACATACAGACGTACATACAGACATGCATACACACATGCAGACATACATACAGACAGACATACATACGGACATACATACAGACATACATACAGACATACATACATACAGACATGCATACTGACAGGCATACATACAGGCATACATGCATACATACAGGCATTAATATACAGACATGCATACAGACGACCGACATACAGACAGACATACAGACATGCATACAGACATGCATACAGACAGGCAGACATACAGACATGCATACAGACATACATACAGACATGCATACATACATGCAGACATACATACAGACATACATACATACAGACAGACATACAGACAGACATACAGACAGACAGACATACAGACATACAGACAGACATACAGACATACATACAGACAGACATACAGACATACAGACATACATACAGACATGCATACATATATACAGACATGCAAACAGACAGACAGACAGACAGACATACAGACAGACAGCAGACATACAACAGACAGACATACATACATACAGACATACAGACATGCATACAGACATACAGACATGCATACAGACAGACAGACATACAGACAGACATTCATACAGACAGACATACAGACAGACAGACATACATACATACAGACATACATACAGACATGCATACAGACATACAGACATGCATACAGACAGACAGGCATACAGACAGACATGCATACAGACAGACAGACATACAGACAGACATTCATACAGACAGACATACAGACAGACAGACATACATACATATAGACATACATACATACAGACATACATACAGACATGCATACAGACATACAGACATGCATACAGACAGACAGACATACAGACAGACATTCATACAGACAGACATACAGACAGACATACAGACAGACAGACATACAGACATACAGACAGACATACAGACATACATACAGACAGACATACAGACATACAGACATACATACAGACATGCATACATATATACAGACATGCAAACAGACAGACAGACAGACATACAGACAGACAGCAGACATACAACAGACAGACATACATACAGACATGCATACAGACATACAGACATGCATACAGACAGACAGACAGACATACAGACAGACATTCATACAGACAGACATACAGACAGACATACATACATACAGACATACATACAGACAGACATACAGACATACAGACATACATACAGACAGACATACAGACATACAGACAGACATACATACATACAGACATACATACAGACATGCATACATATATACAGACATGCAAACAGACAGACAGACAGACAGACAGACAGACAGACAGACATACATATATCGCTGCAATTCCCCATCCCTGGGCCACGAACATGAGCGCACCGACTTGCCGAGGGAGGCGCCTTCACCTTCATGTCCATGACCTCCTCCCTGTTGAATCTCGCCAGCTCTCAGTTCAAGGCGCGCCGAACGGGGCGAGAGGTTTGGCGAAGGTCGGAGGTTTTGGGAAATCCAGCTGGAAGGGAGTAAACCAAAAATAAGAATAAGCCACATGTATGTAAACAGACACACACACATATATATATATATATACATGTGTGAATGACTCTCAGTGTGAACTATTCTCAATGTGAAGCTCTCCAGTGTGAGACACTTTCAGTGTGAACTACTCTCAATGTGAAATATCATCAATGTGAAGGCTCTTAGCATTAATTGGAAACTTGTTCTCTATACTTTCACAAGTGAGCGTGGCCTTAGGAGTGTATATCTTTTAATTCAAAGCAAGTTAGTGCCTACGACCTTTAGTATTGACCAAGCTGGAGGTTTTGGCAGAAAAAATATAAAGATATACATGTCTATACATATATATATATGTATATATTTCTATACATATATGCATATATACATAAATATTAACACATATATATACACATATAAATATAAATGCATATATATATACATATATATATATATACATATATATATATATACACGTATATATAAAGAAACACACACATATATATACATACATGTATATATGTATATTATATGTACATAAATATATACAGTATATTATATGTACATAAATATATACATATATGTATTTATACAGATAGATAGATAGATAGATAGATAGATAGATAGATAGAGAGATAGATAGGTTGGTAGATCGGTAGATAGATAGATAGATAGATAGATAGATAGATACATATATATATATATATTTGGACATGTATGTTTTTGGAACCAGTGAGCCCATCTTGAGATTATTCTACAAAAGCCCCCAATGCTGGTCCAGGCCCGTTGGTGACACTCCTGTTGTAGGGTTTCATGGATCATGGAATTCACTTGTTAAGAAGCATGGAATTTTCTAAAAGGACCAATAGCTAAAATCTGAGTTGTTCCACGAGCCAGTTAGAAACATTCATACGGTCTCAGTGTGGGACAGTGTGGGTGCATGTGAGTGTGTGAGCATGCGCATTTTGGCAGAATAGTCCTCCAGCTGCCTGCTTGTTTCATGCGTTTTTTCCAACCTCCTTGGGCCCTTAGATGTGTAATCACAGAAAAATGATGACCAGGTGGAGAAACAAATCACTGAATTGTACGACAAGATGCATGATTTTGTCGCTCGTTCATGAACTGAGTGTCAGGACGAGGAACTCATGGCAGGGGTTGGGTTATGTGTTGATGCTAGCCGTGGGGCCCAAAAGTGACTCGCCTCCCATCTCGGTCGAATGGCCCTAACGGTGTCATCAAACGTTTCTGGAAAATCTCCGAACTAAATGGAAGTTTTCGCTGGGACGTTGAACTAAATGGCGGATTTTCAACTACCACGTTTGATTGCCGGAAACTGCTTGAAGCTCTTCGCGCACCGGAGCAGATTGGTGCAGAGACTTTGCCACTATGAACAGGGAGGAGATGTCTGGAAAGCTTTGGAAGCGAGTGGGACAGGTGTCGTTGTTCTGACGTGCGTATGATGTTGAATAGGTTCGCGGTGTTGCTTTTTTGAACGCCCGTTGCAGCTCAGAAGCTGACGGCTTTTGACGACTTCCAGCGTGTGTTCCACTAAGTCCTTTGGGGCAGATCTGGAAACTTGCGTGCCAGGTATTGGTGAAGTGCTGGGCCCGGAGACTTGACAAAAGCAAGTTTTGTAATCACAAAGAAATTGTGGGTGAACGTTTGGCAGGGAGCCAGGGAGCGACATTGTTTGATCATTCACGGACGGCCAGCCGGATTCAGCAGAGGTGACAGTTCAAGGTTCAAGGCCAGACTGCCCCCTGCAGCAGAGGTCAGGGTGTTGACGAGTTTGGACTGGGGCAACTTGAAGAAGCTGCCGGATGGTGCCACATCGCCCGCAGCAAGCCAAGAAGAGACAATGGTGTTCGCCACTGCCGTTGCAGCAAAGGCAGTGAAGGTTCTGATGCACAGGGGCAAAACCTTGACAATCCCTGACAGTGTGACTCAAATTGAGAAGAGTGCATTGGCAGTCTGACAGGCACCTCCAGCTGATTTGTAGCTATTGCAACAAGGCGCTTGGTCCCAAATGGAATTGGAGCTGTGAAGGGCAATGGCCTTACTTTGACTTGTCAGCTGCTGCGGGTGTGAGCACGCCTTATTCCTTCATGCTTGTAAGTGGTGCTCTTGCGGTGTCTTCGGGACATGTGCTTTGTGAGAGACGTGTGTGGATGCATTCACCAGCGAAGGATCGTTGCAGACAACGTCCTGGCATTGCAAGTGTCTGGCGGCAAGCTTGAGTTGAGAAAGTGTGACAGCAGCACAGGCACGTGGGAAGTGAACGCAGATGTGCATGGCTGTGGTGGCTCTACTGTCCATGTCTTGGGCTGTGATGAAGCGGATGAAGCAGCACACCTTGGTGCAAACTTTTCCTTGACGTGGCGGTTCCTGCCTAAGACCTACAAGCTGTTGTTGCTCTGCGTAGCTTGGGTGAACTCTTGCGCGCCAGCGTGGCCAGGCAAGGCAAACTTGTGAATGAGTTGCAGGCTTTGCTACCCAAGCTTGCCACGTGCGACACGAAAATCAGCTTGGCGAACCTGCCGACCCGAGCTACTCGATTGCAAGCAGCAGAAGGAATCATGTCCCTTGCTTCCCGCAATGCTTTGAGTTCACATGCTGAGAAGGACAGTTTGGCAGGCAACGGACTTGGGAAAACGTGCCAGTTGGAATATCTTCAGAAGCATCTCGTTGGTGGCTGGATGTGCAAGAACTGGAGACCAAAATTGAGCGGATATTTGGTGTTCTTCCTTTCCATATTGGCAGTAACTCATTCGCACGCCACAACATAATACCGAAGTCACCATTTCGTTAAGGTTACGCCTTGTTGCCCTACTGGTTGGAAAATGTGCAGATTGATTTTGATGGATCATAGACGCCATTCGAACCCCAAGTTGGATATTTTTGGTATCACCATTGAATGGAGTGACGACTAACAGAAACGGGGGTACAACACCAACCAGGAGGGGTAACACACTGGGCATCAGAACTGGCCATTTTTGACCATCAAATATATGGGATGTAATCACTAGGGACACTGCCAGAGGGTAAGAGATCGTAAAACTTTCCAGCAACCAGCAAGGTATGCTGAACCGGTCCAGTGTTGTATTATGTTCAGATATTTAGTCGGCCCAGGATTTGATTTTGGACTTCCAAGAGCACAATGGGACAGCACAATGTCACCCAACCCCGTGGGCAATACTGGGGTTCTCCAATTCTCAGGTGTTTCCCAGCCTTTTTTTTTGGGGCCCCCTACCGACCAGGCTTCTATCAACAAACTGACCTGACCTTGAGTGTTGCGTGAATTTCTTGCGCCCAGACGAAAGACACGTCTTTTGCTCGGGGCAAGAAACAAAAATCCACAAAAGGATGAGGCACTTGGAAAAACTTGATTTTTGGGGACGCAGTTTGAGATATGTTCAACTCAATTTGGTAAACCCCTAGAAATACTATCATGATTAGATGGGCTTCGACGGTGGATCAGTCTATGATCCTGGCCCTGCAAAAAATCCTCAGCCGTTGTCGTATTCACCGCGGGAATCGTTTTCTGTTAAAAAAAAGCAGCTGCACGACTGGTGTCAGGAACCCCTGAAATGATTGGTGAACGGTTTCATTCTCTTGTTTTGTGGATAAGACGTTTTTTTTTGCTAAATGACAAAATGGCTATATCCATTTGGGAGTTTTTTTTTTTAAAAATACGAAATGTATATATATATATATATTATACGACACATATATATATACACACATAGATGTAGTATATATGTTTTTATATGATTTTATATGATTTATATGATTTTATCTGATTCTATATGACTATATACATATATCTATATCTATATCTAATATCTAGTATCTAGTATCTAATATCTGATATCTATATCTATATCTACATCTACATCTATATCTACATCTATATCTATATCTATATCTAATATCTATATCCATATCTATATCCACACCTACATCTATATTTATATCTATGTCTATGTCTATATCTGAATCTAATATCTAATATCTAATATCTAATATCTAATATCTAATATCTAATATCTAATATCTAATACCTATAGCTATATCTATATATCTATATATATATATACTTTCGCATTATAATATGTATTTTTTTTGCTGGGGGTATGAAATACGAAACTTGGCGCAGCAATCAGCTCAAGCCCTGCGCTTGAACACGGCATCTGCCACGGCTTCTTGACCTGTGGCGTACCTGTTGGGGTCCCTTGAGGCCTTTGGGATGATTCACCTGTTGTTTGTTGATTGCTAGGTCAATCTTACATGGATACTTCAATCCTTTAGTCTTTTGGTAATTAATGGGAATATCTACTAACCAGCAAAGAATTTAATTTTTTGCAGGGTATCTAAGATTGGCAATGATTGTTGGGTGATGATTATTGATTATTCAATAGCCTGTATACATTGTGTGGGAATAATCAATATAATCATCAACCAAGAATCAACAACCAATAATGTATCATAATGTATATTGGTTATATATTGGGGATTATCAGAATGGCCATGCCACGGGAGTAGCACTTGGGGTTGTGGTTGAGGTTGCTGGGTATAGGTTCATGGTTAAAACTTCCACAATTTGGGATATAACCCCAGTAACTATGGCTATTATTATCCACTTATTTCATTGGAACTGCACTTCCAAGCAGTAGGTACTTGCCTTGGTCATCTGATTTTTCAGCATGGTTGAGCAGGTGATCCGTGATAGCTCAGCTGTTTCATGTCTGTGAGAGGCCGTATGGTTATAGGTCACACTTGGGCTCGAAAGAACGTGGATTCTCTACGTCTAAAACTTGGCAGATTTTTTAC